CACAAATCAGTGCAGGAACTTGGCAGCAAATTCGTGTGGACCATTTCTTAATGAACTTCCCTCTGTTTGTTAAATTCTCTATGCCCTGGGGCACAGCAAACGAACCAATAACTGTGTCCTTTCATACAGGACACTATCCAATAAAAATAAATGTCCTGCACAGGATTAAGGACAAAAGTCCTTAACACAGCAATAGTGTGTTACACAAGCTGACAGCTGCGAGGCAAAACTTTCAAGGAGCACCCAACAGATCAGTCCTGGAAGTACAAGATTTCATGATTGTTTTAAGGGGAAATCCAGGGGAAGCAAATCAAGTGATCCTAAAAGTCTTTTAAAAAAAATAAGAACTGGGTGAATGCCAATATTAAACATTATGTTTTGCAAGAAGAAGATGAGGGTCTGGAAGGCATCACTGGGAAGAGAGCAGAAAATAATTGGGAATTTAGACACACACGCAACAAAAAGTGTAAAACTGGCACGTTCTGGAGATAAGCCAACAGGTGCAGTGGGAAGAAGAGGGCACCGCTTGTCTATGCTGTTTCTAAAATTCTACCCTGTCTCGAAGGAGCTCGGGGCAGCATCTATGGCTCTTTTCTTCTGGTTTACCTTCATGGCCACCCTGTGTGGTAGGTTATGCCTGAGAGTTTGTGACTGGCCCAAGGTCACCCAGTGAGTTTCATTGCAGAGTTGGAATTATGAACCCAGATCCCTCCTAGTCTAACAAGCTGACTGCTGCTCACGTTCATGGCCACCCTGTGTGGTAGGTTATGCCTGAGAGTTTGTGACTGGCCCAAGGTCACCCAGTGAGTTTCATTGCAGAGTGGGAATTATGAACCCAGATCTCTCCTAGTCTGACAAGCTGACTGCTGCTCACGTTGGTGCTTTCTCTCTATCACCTCTCCCTCCCTAGAAGGTACGGAAGAGTCCGGCGGGAGATGAGCACCTCACCGGGATATCATCAGAGGCCGGAACGTGCCCATTTCCCCTCCTCCCCACTTCTGGGTCTTCTCCAAGAGATATGCAACTGCTCACTGTGACTCCAGGAGGGCTAGGAGCAATTTCTGCCTTCCCCAGGCTATTTGAGGTGCATGTCTTCTTTTTTAAAAATTCTGTATAGGGAAACCCCTATATGAACTATGAAGACACCCTGACCTGGCCTTAGATGCTCCCTCTGCACTGCCTCACTGATAGGCAATTGATTGCTGAGCTTGCTATCACAAAGAATGGTAGAATTAAATGCTGCTATTCAGGGCTCTTTTTGTAGCAGGCACTCATTTGCATATTAAGCGACACACCCCTAATGTAGCCAATCCTCCAAGAGCTTACAGTAGCTCCTGTAAGAAGAGCTCTGTAAGCTCTTGAAGGATTGGCTACATTAGGGGTGTGTGGCCTAATATGCAAAGGAGTTCCTGCTACAAAAAGAGCCCTGATGGAGTGGGGGGACGACGACTAATTAACATGTGTCTGTATGTAATATTTTAACAATCCCAGGCTTGTTTCCCATCATACAGATGGTGGAGATTCAAAGTCAGAAGGCATACCCAAGGCAAACACAGCAACTGGCTGCATTTGGGAAATGGGAATAAGGCAACAGCTGCATGTAGCAAAGCATTTGTTTTTTTTAAAGAAGTCCAAATTGATGTGCGCTTTTACAAAATGTGCAAAGTCATTTCAAATTAGGTGTGTGGCTTCATTATTGTTCTTTGTGACAGCTGGAAATAAAAATGTTTACCTTTGGCTGTAACACAGCACACGGCGACGTACACCCACGTGCAACAGATCGCAAGGGCACTCAGCGCTTGATACGGTTACGCGCAGAACGGTCACTTTTCAAAGGGCTTCCATTTTAGACAACCTGATTTGTGGGAAGGCGTGCTTGTATTCTTACATAGTGGTGACTGCCCAACCAAAACATCAGCTGAGAGAGAACCACATACTGAGGCCATGGACATATATGTTTTCAGCATCAAACCAAGGCCACACTCTTGAAATAGTAAACTGTAGAAGGGAGTCATTCCACGGCATTATAGGAATGACTCCAAACCCTCAAATCTCATGTGACTCTGGCGGAGCTCATCAGTATTGCAAACAGTACTATGAAACTGGCTCCGGCTAAGGGATGAGATTCACGCGGGGTTACACCACCTTTCAGTGCTTTGTTGAAACTACACTTACATTTTAGAAAGAAGACTTTCATCCTCTCAAACTCAACACAAAGTATACCGACACCGAATTTGTAGCCTCTAGAACTTAAAAACAAAACTATTAAAAAAAAAAGATTCACTGCTTCAGCAGTAAAAAAAGTATTCCTCTACGAGAAAAACCGCTGCATTGTGTGTAACGTTCCACAGTTCATTTCTAAGTATTCGCTTATTTCAGAATCACAAGAACGTACGGCTGACTTTGATAAAGAGAATTAAACATGACCATCTTGTACTGACAGTCTTGACGTTACAGCATATTTGTGCATGTTTTTACTTATCATTAAACATACAGAAATAAGTTATAAAAATAGTTCGGTTTTGCAAACAGACATCCTACGTTGTTAAGGGTTCTTGCCAATGTCTACGGATTGCCTGACATCGGCACTGGATTCTGGCACTCGGACGACCATATTGTTCAGAGATCTCTGCAAGCAGATCTGGCAGCCCAGTCGAGACCTAGGGGAGCGAAAAAGGGGGGAAACCACCTTGAGATGAAGTTGAGTTTTTCATATAACTTTTACAAATACAAAAAACAGGGCAGTGATTTCTGTCAGGCTGGGGGAGAGAGTTTAGCTTGTCACCGTTAGTACCTGGGGGGGAAAGGGAAAAGACAAAGAAGCAAAGGAATAAAAGTTTAAAATGCATGCTTAGGTCAATATCAGATAAATGGTTAGTGTTTATATAGTGCTTTACAACATGCTCCACACTGATCTGGATCCAGACGTACAAGAGCAACTTGGAAACCTGGAGGGGGAACTAAGCCACTTTACCCAACAGCAAAGGGAGGGGATTTTGCCCACTTTCCCCATCCTCACTGCTGCCCACTGGAACGTTTTGTCGGAGGGTCCCCCAACCCCCACACAGGACTCTTTAGATCAGGGTACGCATGGAGATGCTGTGGGAAGGTG